TCACTTCTGGTCTCTGCTGCTCATGCTGTTCCCTCCTTCCCACTAAATCTACCCGCCCCCTCATTCCTACTCATTTGTCCTTCAAATCTTACCTCCTCCAGGAAGTCTTCCCTCATGTGCCTTCTCTTCCTAGTCCTGTGGAATGCCCTTCCCATGTGTTTTCACAGCACTACCACCACCCTGAAGCTGAATCACACTGAGCAACGACGTCTGCTTGTCTGCATGCTTCACTGGACAGGCACTATGAGAGCTGAGCTTCTACCTGCGATGTTGCCTCCTGGATCCCCAGCCCCATGATTCATGACTGAGTATCTATGCAGCGGATGAATGAGTCTTGACACTTAGATGCGGTCACTGGAGCCCACTCCCATCTGGGATCTGAAGTCCAAAGAAGAGGTTCCTGACTTTGTTTCTTCCAGACTCACCACCATCTGTACACTCATCACAGCTCTAATGACCTCTTCCACAGAGCTAGGAGCATCTGGCGCTGGGCCGGATCCAAGATTGTACCCTTTCCCTCTGGTGGTGTTTGCAGATGACACTCGATATAGGACCAGGTGGTGGACATCCTTACAGAGCTGTGGTTCAGGAGTGCAGTGTTGACAGACTCCCTCCTCTCCAGCCCCTGCCCCTGAATCCAACAGCCCAGCAGAGGAGCCAGGCTGGAGCTGGACACAGGCCCTGCTATCTCTGGTTAGGAATGCTAGTGGCACTGCTCCCCTGTTCTTAGCACCCACAAAACAATCTATCTACTCTTGGTGCCCGCTGCAGCTGCCCTGAGTCAGAGGCCAGGTCAGAGACCATCCATCATCATGTTTCTGCCTGGGATGCGCCCATGCCCTCTGGGTGGGTGCTCCATTTCCAGTCTTGTCCTTTTTACTCCATTCTCTATCTTGAATAATTCTTCTCAAATGTAAATCTGACCATGACTGAAACCCTTGGGTGGCTCCTCCCTACAGAAGGAGAAAGTTCAACCTTCTCAGCACAGCCAGAGTCCATCCTGGTCAGCGCCCATCCTGGCCCTCACTCGCTTGCTTACTCAAACTACCAACATGTGCTCTTTTCATGTCCTGCTTCTCCATCTGCTCTTCCCTCTACCTGACACTTCATTCTTCTCCCTTAAGTTTGCTCAATACCTTCACTCAATAAATACTTAGTACTTATTAAGTGTTTGGTTCCATCCTAGATGAATAGTACAAAGTCTCATATCAAAGAGTTTTATATTTAGGAAATATCTAGAAAGCAAACATGAAAGAAGGTACCTAGAGAAACCTAGAATAAACTTAGTTTAGTGAAGTCTTTTTGCCTCAGCATAGACATTTTTGCTTAGACTTTATCCCTGACACGCTTTGAATCTAGCACAGATTAGACACAGATAGTTAAATTTCCAATAGGCTGGGTTTAGGAAGCCTTCAGACATTTCACTGCAGGCCAAGCAGCACCCTACCCCACCCCCTCAGCAAATCTCCATCAGATGCAAGACAAGGACAGAGCCACAGAAATGATAATAGACCACCTGTAGGTCAAGGAGTTTGTGGGTTGCAAGGGTCTGACCAGTCTCTTATAGGAAAGCCCCCTCCCCTTGTCTCCTCCCATCTATAGCCCACCACCATGGCAGCAATCATGTGACTAGCCCACCCATCTGCTTCCTGTCCATCACCTGAGGAGGAGGTGGGCGGGCTTACCTGCCCCTTCATGAGCAGACCGCCACCCAATCACCAATGACCTTCCCCCTTCAAAGGGAAGGGTTAAAAGCATTCAACCTCAAGCAGCCAGGCGTGGCCATGTGCTCTCTGAGCTATGGCTGTCACTGTCACCATGTTTCCTGGCTTTGGCGCCCTTCCCTACCTTGAGGAGGTGAATCTCCTCTTTCTTTCTCTCTCTCTCTAATTTACTTTTAAATAAACTATATTTTCTGACCTAACTTTTATGCAATTCTTTGCATCTTTCATGTGGCACACTCACACCACACCCCCAGAGGACCTGACCTAACATTCTGGAGGCCCCTAACAAAACAGATAGACCAGGTAACTGCAGACAGCAGTACATGCTCCCATGAAAAGAAAACAGGGTGTGTGATGGAAAGTAACTTAATAGGTTACTTTGTGTGGGGGGGAATGGGTGGGTAGGGAAAGTTTCTGATGAGGCCACTTTTGGGACATTTTAAACACCAGGCGACAGGGCATTCCAGACACTGGGGACAGTAAGCGCAAAGGCCCTTGGCTGAGCCTGGAATGTAGGAAGGATGAGGAGGCGGGTGGGCTCGTGCAGAGTGACCATGGTGGGGAGAGGCTGGGATGATAGTCACGAGTAGAGAAGGCGGCTCTGTCACTTACGACTCTCAGGTTGGACAGTCCTTCCTCCCAGCATCTCTAAGACTTTTAAGCTTTAGGCCACTTATACTAGGGACTGGCTCAGTCTCTCATTCAACCCCAGTGCCCTGCAGGGCATCTGGCATGTGGCCAGTATTCACACACTCTTACTGAGCAAATAAATAGAGTCACGGGTTTCCAGAAGGATTCCGAGAAAGACCATGGAGGATGGAGGACAGCTCCACTCTGATTCTTCCCCGGGAGCAGAAGATGGTAGGAAAAGCTGGTGAGTCATTTATAAAGGGAGCCCCGTTTCCGACAACACTGAGAGCCCAGCACGGAGCTCACCCCTGTGGGTGACTCACTGATGCTTCATCCTGCAAGGTTTTTTATTTGAGCCTCCTCGATGGAGGGGGCAGAAAAAAGAGGCAAGAGAACAGTTTTCATTTAATGTTTGGAAAGAAGTGCTGAATGGACGCTCACATAATGACGATGACGAATACTGATTTGAGCAAAGAGAACTGAAAGAAACACCAAAAGAAAACAGTATTTGCTGAAGCCTCTAAGTGATTCCCAGAACCAGAGAGAGTTCAAGGGCTCCATGGTTTTTTCGTCTCTGTGAAATGTGAAGAAGGGAGGATACTGAGGAGACATCCAGGTGATGGGGCAGGGTCGAGACAACTCCACTGTGACTGGGGGACCCAATAACAGACTGCAGGGGTGCATGGTGACCAAAGTCATCCTGACAAAAGACCAGATGAGCTGCATTCCTTCCTATGGTCCTTAGGTGCCCTCCCTGCCATAGGGAGCCTAAAAGCATTCTCACTACATCCAAAAAAAAAACCCCTACAAAAACAATAACAATAATATATCAAATCAGCCGGGCGTGGTAGCACATGCCTGTAATTCCGGCTACTTGGAAGGCTGAGGCGGAAGGATCGCCGGAGCACAGCAGGTCAAGGCTGCGGTGGCCGGGAGCAGCCACTGCACTCCAGTCTGGGCAACAGAGTGAGACTCCAACTCAAAAAATTAAATAAATAAAAAGTAAAAATAAATCAAAATTCTGACTCTTTTTTTTTTTAAACCAACAAAATTCAGTCTCTGTAGAGACTGTCAAAAATCGCCAATGCCAATGCTGACTATATTTCAAGTCGTCATGGCGGGGTATTGGGAAAAGTTTTCAATCAGCAATAATCGTACCTCAGATAAACCTCATTGGCTTACAAAGCCCCTACCAATCTGGCCCCTGATCCCTCTCTCTCTCCCCACCAGCCCCCGGCACACTGGCCATCCTTCTGTTCTGTACCATGAGCCTGTCCTGCCTCAGGGTCTTTGCACCAGCTACTGCCTCCTCCAGAAACATATGTCCCTTGCTCCTCCATGGCAGGCTCATTTTTGTCATTCAGGCTTCAGATTAAATGTCGCCTTCTCATAGAAATCTTCCCTGTCCCCCTAAACCAGTGGAGCTTCTCTGCTACTTTCTAATACACTGGCTGATAGCTGTTCTTGATAATTTGTTCAGTTATTAATTGTGTTTCCGCCACCATGAGAGCAGAAACCAATGTCCTTTCTCACCTGTGAATACTCACTGCTCAGAGTAAGCAGAGGGACCTCAGTAAATGTTTGTTGGCTGAATGAATGAACTAATTACTTCTGTACCAAATACTAAAGGTCAGGAAAGGGCAGGGAGCAAATATTTATTGAGCATTTAACATCGGCAGACACCAAGCTGGGTGCTTTATGTGCAATTTCTCACCTACTTGCACAATATCCCTATCGAAGTTTTTATTCCTCAATTGACACTTGAGGAAACTGAAGCACAGAGAGGTTGAGTTACTTATCTGGGGCCACAGAGGTAGTAACTGGAAGGAATTAAAGTCAAACCCAGGTCACCCTGATGCCACATGCCCAGGTCTTTCTGCTAAAGTGTCTCTTCCCCATCTCTTTTATTATTATTATTTTTAAGAGACTAGATCTCACTATGCTACCCAGGCTGGTCTCAAACTCCTGGGCTCAAGTGATCCTCCTGCCTCAGCCTCCCAAAGTGCTGGGATTACAGGCATGAGCCACCGTACCCAGCCCCCATCTTCTTAGAACTCGGGATCAGTCTGAGATTTGCTTCTTGTTTGCTATGTGAAGATGGGAAATTCGCCTAATCTCTCTGTGGCTCCATTTTTTCAACTCTTGAAGAGGATTTCTATGAACATCATACGAAATATAAAAAAAATTATAAATGGCAAAGAAAAAGAAAAATATAGTAGATGGTAGTGATGGCTGTGGCTACTTCCCTAACTCTGTCTTTAGTCACACTGACTCCTGAAGAGGCCCATTTCTGGAGAAAATCTCTCTTTGTGCCACCCCACGCACTGTCCTCACTGAATCCTGGGTCTCACATGTGGATGTCCTATCCACAGAGGCTTTGGTGCTTCCTGGCTATGAGAGATACTTGATCTGTCGTTGCACTGGTGGTTTTTGTTCCTTTTGCTTAGAAACTCACTCCTGACGCCTGGGCCAAGCATACCCTGTTTGCACCCACAGCCATCAGCGTGGAGGTGTGATCTGCTGACGTGCCTGTGTCCCCTACCAGCCAGCAGACCCCAGGCAGGGATGGCATCATTCTCATCAAGGTCCTCAACAGATGCGCACAGAAAGCCGCCCCTTTCCTGCCATGCCCCGCGAGCCACTCACGTTTTCACTGTTGACATCAGCTTCGCTGGGGCAGCCAAACAGCTCCCGCCTCAGAAGGTTCCCGTCATACTCCAGGAAGGTCAGGTAGAGGTTGCGAAAAAACTCTACGTGCTTGTTCTTCACCCGAAGCTTCTTGGGGGAGTTCCAGTGGATGACCTGCAGGGGGATATGGAGGCAGTCAAGCAGGAGGGACACCGCATATGCAGGAAGCCATGGCTTGGTGCCGGGTTGAGCATTATTTGTGGGTCTACTTATTCATTCTTCACTCACTCATTCATTCGTTCAACATTTATGGCATTGCCTGGGATCAAATCCTGACTCTGATCTAGGTAGTCATTTAATCTTGGACAAAATACCAAATCTCTCTATGCCTCTTTCCTCATCCGTGAACTGGGAATAGTAACAAATACTGCCTGTGCCAGTTATTAAACTATTGCCTTTCGAACGCAAACCTGCTTTGTGATGCTGAGGCCTGGACTCTGCAAACCATATTTCTACTTGGCCAGCAGCTGCCTTCAGTCACTGCCAACAGGGAACACAATGGGGAAGCCAGGGCCAGGAGGAGGAGAGAGGCACTTTCTCCCCCGTGGCTTCCGGTTCCTGGGAGCACCACCTTATCTCCTTTCTTCAGCTGGGCAGTGGCACTTCCTTCCCTCTGCAGCAGCTAAATCCATTCTGCAGTTTTTCCAACACTTGAAACATGCTTCATCGTCCTCCCTTCCCCACCCAGTGCCACTGCCGCTGGAATTGGCTGGTGGCCCCACCCTAGAGATCTGAGTCCTGTCCCCAGCATTCCAATTCCCTTCTCTTCTCTCTGCTCCTCCAGCTCTAGGTGTAGTAAGTGTTTCCTGTAATTTTCTACTTTTGTTTTGTTAGGTACCAAGTGAACACTCTAGTTACCATTGTAAAGATTAATTTCTCTGTTCAAATAATCGCTATAGTTTCTGCCTTCAGTCAGGACTCTGAGTGATACACTGCCTAATAAAGGTGAAAAATAAATGAGTTAATACGTACAAAGCATGTGACTAGCGCCTAGACACAGAGCCAGTATTCAACAGGTGCTGGTGCTATTTAGTGCCTACAGTGTACCAGGCTAGGGGACGGCCAGAGGCAAGTGACACTGGGGTCTGGCCTCAGCACACTCATCGTCTGCTGGGGAGAAGAGGCCACACGCAGGTAATTAGATTGCAATAATGGGCGAAGGATCAAGAAGGAGGAACAGCTCTAGGATGCTGAGAGACGCATCCAAGGAGCTCGTTGGGGCTTGAAGGATAGGCAGGAGCTTCCTGGGAAGCCAGGGCCCGAGGCACAGGGAAGACACAGGAGTGGAGTGGCTCATCTGGAAAATGAGAAGTCAGCATTGCAGCTGGGTGTGGGGATGGGGGTGGCTGGAGCATTACTGGGGTGAGGCCCTAGACTTGGGAGGCCTATAAGTACTGGAGGTTTTTAAGGAGGGAGAAATTACTTTTTAAGGAGGGAGAAATTACTAAGGCTAGGTTTGAGATCACTCTGACTACATGGTAGAAGACACTTGTAGAAAGGCGAAACTAGAGCCAAGGATGTCAGTTATCAGTCAGGTGCAACTTCCAGCTGAGAGAATTGTTCCCCTGGGGGGGGGACACAGTTTCTGATTTGGTTACAGAGACAAGACAAGCACAAGAGGAAAAAAAAGCTGGAAAAAGCAATTAAGTATCTACAGACTATTTAATGTGGGCTAAAATTGGCTTTAAGAAAGCACCTTAATTTATTATTAATATTAAACGGCACTCATTATTGGTATTAACAATGATTCATTGTCATTATGTGGTAATCTACTGGTAATAAATAATTTGTATTATTTTACTGAATACTCATAACAAGACTATGGGGGCAAACTATGGGGGCAAACTATGATCAATCCCATTTATGGATGTGAAAACAGAAGCATAGAAAGACTCTGTAATTTGCCTGTGGTCACAAAGAATTAGGCTTGGCCTCAGCTGCTGGCTCCAGGGTCCACCTACTTAATCACTCCTTGTACTTCTGCTGTTTCTGAGATCAGCACGCAGGGACCTGTAGAGGCAGGATGCACTAGAGATGTTTACTAAGCACCGAGAAGACTGATGGTTGGGTCAGTCAGATGGGGCTCTCACAGCTGAGCTACATGAGCCAGACCCTGAATGATGGGGCAGAGGCAGAGGGTCAAAGGGGACAAGAGAGTGGATCCAAGTGAAGGAAATGACAGAGTATTAAGAACAAAGTCAGGGAAGGACCCCAAGGAGTCGGCTCTGTGACAGTGTCCCCGGTCATAAACAGTCATATTCTAAATGCCCCATGGCAGATGTCAAGGGAAGGCTGAGCCTCAGGACAATGGAGTGAAAACCTGAGCCTGGTCCCCAGGAAGCCCCTCATGGGACACCTGTGATGAGAAAGGGACGCATTCTGAGTGGCCACTGTCCATTCCCTTGACTGAGCTCTTTCCTAGTGGGCTCATCTATCGTGGAACACTTCACTGACAGTTTTACATTCACTGGCTTCTTTGAACCCTCACAATGACCCTAACAAAGTATGCAATTGTAAAGATGAAGAAACAGTGAAGAAGTGACTTGCCCAAGGCCACCTAGCTGGTGATCAAGGAGTTAGGCTTTGAACATAAGTCTGACTCCAAAGTCCCCGTTTTTTTCCTCTGTACTGCGGAGAACAGGAGAAGCCAGGCTTTTAAAATGTCCCTTTTCATGTTGTGTCTGATTGTAGAGGAAACAAAACAGCTCTCACCATCCCCTCAATAGTCCCCTAATGCCCTTACTCTGTCCTCCTGTGAGGACTGACTAGAAAAATCTAACATAATGGACATAAGTTTAAGACCTACAGAATTCATATGTTGAAATCCTAACCCTCAAGATGATGGTATTAGGAGGACCGTAGGGAGACCTTAGGGAAGTTGTTAAGTCACGAGGGAAGAGTTCTCATGAATGGAATTAGTGCCCTTAGAAAGGAGGCCCTAAGAGCTCCCTCATCCCCTTCTACCACCCGAGGACACAGTGAGAAGGTGCCATCTATGAATTAGAAAACGAGTCTTCACCAGACACTCAATCTGCAGTTGCCCTGATCTTAGATTTCCCGGCCTCCAGAAACATGACAAATAAATGTCAAGTAGCAGGATCGGATCAAGACACTGAGGAAAGGAACTGGGTATCCACAACTCAGTCACTGCCTGATTACCTCCTTACGCCAGCCTCTGTCTGTGAGTCTGCAGCAGGTCTAGGGTCTGCCACCTGTAGAGATATTGGGAAGATCCTGTTCCCTCTGCCCTCTTTTTTCAGGGAGGTACATTAGTAATAGCCCTTGAAGTTGGCTGGATAAACATTGCTCTCCAAGACCAGTTTTCTCCCTGGTATGGTGAATAACAGGAAGTCTATTTGGTCCAAACTACATTCTCCCTGACCTCCCATAATTGGCAATGCTACGTAGCCAGAGCAAGAACCGTGGACCTCAGACCAGCCGACGTCTGAATCTCTGTTGTGCTGGGGCTCAGCCTTGCCTTGGCATCTGCCATGGAGCACTGAGAATACGACCATTAATGACCCTGTGTGCAAATCTGCCAGGTACTTTGGAGACACCATCTCATTAAATCCTCTAAATAGGCCCATTTGAAACTCACTGTCCACTTTATAGAGATATATGTGATTTACCCATATCTCACAGCTGGGACACTGTAACTGAGACTGGGATTCAGACATCGGTTGGTCTGAGGTCCACTGTTCTTGCTCTTTCGACCGTAGCTTTGCCAGTTGTGGGACTCTTTACCAGCTGGTATGTCCTTGTGCCACTCATTTCTCTTCTTGGAACCTCAGGTTCCTCAAGTGCAAGGTGGGGGTCAGGAAGCCTGACAAGATAAGTTGGGAAGATTAAATAATGCCTAGCATGGTATCTATGTCTTCCTCCTCAAAGATGGGGCAACCAGATTGAGCCACTAGTGTTCGGCGCTTCTTTCTCCTGCACCAGTAGGGAGAAGGCAGGCACTCAGCATTCTGGAGGGTACAGAGAGGACTGGCAGGTACTGCTTGGAGTGAGACTACTTGGTGAGGCTTGTTTTTTGATGAGTGTGCAAAATGTAGTTTTCTTCCCGTGCCTTTTTAAAGGGTACGAGAGAGAAGACTCTCCCCTGAGAACACATCCAATCTGGGCATAAGAAGATCCTGGGCTATGCATTAAAATAATTGCATGTGGGCTGGTGTCACTCACACCCAGTGGGGATCATGTCTTCTCTGTGAATGCTCCTGGTGCTTGCCAAGTGCTGAGCCAGCAGGAAGGCTGATGGATGCGCATCTGACTTAGGATACCTGGGCTTCCTCCATAGGCAGAAACTTAAACTAAGTGAAAATAAGGGCTGCCCTATGGGCCCCCAGACAAAGCTTAGTGCACTGCACACAAATCTGCCAGGTACTTTGGAGACACTGTCTCATCAAATCCTCCAAATAAGCACATTTGAATTTCACTGGTCACTTTAATGGAGATGGTATGTGACTTGTCTATATCTCACAGCCAGGATGTTCAGAGCTGACACTGGAAGCCAGATCTATACCCTAAAACCCCAGGTTCTTAATGGCTATCATGTCTAGTGTCAGTGGGCTGAGTATTTGACAGATGAGGAAAATAAGGTTTACAGAGAGGAGAGATGACATGCCCAAGATCACATGGTTAGTCTGTGCCAGGTCAAGGCTGGGACTGGGACCTATGTCTCTTGGTGCTCCCCAACTCAACCCATGCCTTCCTTTATCCCATCGAACCCCAACCTTTTCGGTATCTGTTTAGTGATGTGGGTTTGTGAGTTGACTACAGGCAAATGCTGGTGCTGTATAAAAAGGAAGGCAGGGGGAGAGGATGGTGGGTCATTGGCAAGCAAAGGGGGTTGTGCAAACCCCTTTTTAATCCAGCTGCCCCCTGAGAGGTAAGCTGCTCTCAGTCTATTAAGGTATATTCAGATTTACATAATATACCCTAGTTTTTAATTATCAGGATATAGAATACTCCCTGACTTTTTGCTAGCATTGAAAAAAATAATTAATAGCTATTATTTATTTAATACCCATTATATACTAGACACTAGGCCAGGACTTTTTACATATGTATGAATACATATACATATACATAGGTGTAAATGATAGCTATTATTT